AGATACCGCTAGGACAGTATACTTTAGTTATTTCCATAACGTTATGTCATATGGCATTCTGATGTGGGGTATGGCTGCAGATATAGAGTCTATATTATATCAATTGGGTTCAAGAACATCACTTAGAGATAAATTCAAAGAAATTGGGATATTAACAGTGGCCTCCCAATTCATATACAATTGTATACTTTATGTTAGAAACAATATTAACAATTATATTAAACATAGTCATGTACACAATTTTAATACTAGAAACAAAGATAAACTTGTTTTGCCGTCATGCAGGCTAAAGAAGGTTCTATCGTCATTTATGGGTCAAGGTGTACACTACTATAACAAAATTCCTATGGAAAATTTTAATTTACCATTATCTAAGTTTAAAACACATATTAAGAATTGTCTACTCAGTAAAGGATATTATACTGTTAATGAATATTTAAACGACAAAACTGCTTGGAGTTAAATATGGCACATTTTTCATATATATTAAATTGTTTATCGGTGAGCTTGACGAAAATACTGTTTTACTCTTATATTGTGTAATATTGTAATGGAAAGTGACTTCAAATTTTAATGAAGTCATTTTTCAATCTTGACGCTCTGTATGAAATAAAACAGGGAGAAAAAAGCAGCCCTTGCCGAGTTCCTTGCCGGTTCTTCTTGGTACAAGGTCTCCCGCCGTAGATTTACGAACAGATGGCGTAGCTCTCGACTTTCACAAGTGCTTGTAACAGCCTGTAACTGATTTTGATTTGATTTGATATCCTGACGACTCGATTACTGCTTCTCAGGGCTTATTTCCCAGCAGAGGGTTATAAGAGGCTGAGAAGAGGGAGGAGGGTCCCACACCCCTGTAGCTTGTCAGGCGGCAGACTGCCCGAAGCATATACGTAGGCGGGATGATAAATAGCTAGCCTAACTCATATTTTGTATAACGATATAAAATCTCCTTAGCATTATACTCATTGGTTCATTAGCTGCCAGTGTTCCAAATTTTAAATCGATCGTATAGTTTTTCTTTTAAATACTGACATTTCAAAAAGCATTCTTTTGTTTTTTCTGCAAAATGGATAAAATTGAGCTACGAGCTGTGATAAAGTTTTTGCATTTAAAAGGATTAAAAAGTGGAAAGATTTTTTCGGAGATTAAGGATGTTTTGGGAGAAAATGCTCCTTCATATGCGAACATAAAAAATTGGGTGGCTGAATTTAAACGTGGCTGTACCAGCATCCAAGATGAACATCGTCCAGGACGTCCAAAAAGTGCCACTACACTACAGCTAAAACTGCATCATGAATTTTGATCACAATTTCTGGAAATTGTGATCAAAATTCATGATGCAGTTTTAGCTGACCGAAGATTGAAACTTTCCGAGATAGCTGATACTGTAGGCATCTCTAAAGAACGAGGCATTACATTTTGCCTTAAGAATTATGTATGAAAAAATTATCCGCAAGGTGGGTGCCACGATTGCTTACAGTTGACCAAAAACACGTTCGTATGCAAATTTCACAAGAATGTTTGGACCGCTATATGAGCAATACAACTGATTTTCTGCGACGGTTTGTTACTACAGACGAGACTAGGGTTTACCACTATATACCTTAAATCAAAAATTCAGTCTAAACAATTAATGAAAAAAGGATCCCCGGCTCCAAAGAAAGCGAAAGCCGTGAAATCAGCGGGGAAAGTCATGGCGTCAGTATTTTGGGATTTGAAGGGTATATTGATGATTAATAACCTTCCAAAAGGAATAAACACAAATGGCGAATATTATGCTGATCTACTGGATAAATTACAAGTGTGTATTCGTGAAAAAAGACCCGGCCTGGCTAAAAAAAAATCTTTCATCAGGATAATGCGCGCGTTCACACGTGCATCACTGCGAATTAAATTGTGATTTGTTTCCACACCCAGCTTATTCTCCTGATCTGGCACTATGACATTCATCTATTCCCTAAGTTCAAAAATTTTTTTGATGGACAAAGATTTGATTATAATAGCGAGGTGATGACTGCCGTAGACAGTTATTTTGAAGGGCTTGAAGAAAACCACTTCAGGGATGGCTTGATGCTTTAGAGCATAGATGGATGAAGTGCATAGCGCTTCAAGGAGACTATGTCGAAAAATAAATATACTTTTAACACACTAATTCAAGTTTTTCTATGCATGGCTAGCTATTTATCATCCCGGCCTCGTAAAAAATAAAAATGAAAACATTATATATATAAATATTCAAAGTGTTAATTAAAAAAAAATTTGCAGACAAAAAGGATCGGTGCAAAAAATAACGTCTACATAAACTTATGTCATTATTAAATATGTACAAGGAAGGAAAAAAAAACGTGTTGCTCAACGTACAAAGCCTATTAAGCTATTAAGTCCATTCATTGCGGACTTTAGAATAATCATTAAAGTTATAAAAGACTTTATACTTGAGCATGTTCTTGAAACAAATTACGACAATGTATCACTGTTATGTTTTAACGGTTGCCAATAGCTAACACCAAGCTCGCTTGTAACGATGAAATCAGTTTTTTTTTATTGAAAATTATGTAAAATATTATTGTCTATGCAGGAAATGCAATTTTGGTCAAAGAGTAGAGTTCGTCATGAAAAAAAAAACAGTCTTTATCATGGCAATGACTGACAAGCAAAAACGACACATATGTGGACGATGGCCGATTGATCGCACCACTGATTTGCTCTACCATTTCATTCATACATGCCCTTCAAGTTATTTAATCTTTATTCGTATTAAATTAAAGTCTATTTATGCTTAACAACCAGTCTTTTTAAACCGGTCAGATGATATCTACCGGTTGTGGCCGAACGAATTAGTTGTATCCCGTTATTGTAGGGGAATGAACGTGTAGACTGTTTAAAAATTTGGTAGCAAAGAATAAAATAAGGTTAGTTTTTATTTAATGTATTTGGACCTCTTTAGCAGTTTTTGGTATGGTTTTATTTTTAATATTGCGCGTTTGCGTTATGAAGTTTCGAAAATGAGTGCCTCAAATAAGTTTTTAAAACATGTTTTAAATTCTGTCATAAAGTAAGTTATTTGTTTTACCGTTAAAATTACTTTTCCCGCAACGAATAATTATAATAGTATGTCACATAATTTAATTATCATATATTTTGGTTGATTTAGTATAGTGTCATGAGATTCAAAGAGATTGGTTAACTTTTTACTGTTTACATAATAATTTTCAGAAAAATTGAGAAACTCCTTTTTTGCTCAAAAGCCTATTAAGAAGGACTTCGAAATATATTTTTTTTCGACATAATAAACCGTATCGTATTCATAATATAATCTCAATTAGGTGTATTATCTGCATCCGCATGAATTCCTTATTTAATTATGAAAGTTCTGATTGAGTTTTTAAGTCACATTTGCTTTTGTCTTTAACACTAATAAATTACCACGGCTTCCAACGATTTCGGCTGCGTAAATTATAATCTATGTCACTTGCATATAATGTAGCTTCAAATAGGTGAAAGATTCGGTATTTTCAGAGTGTATGCAAACAAATGATCATTTTTTATCTTATAATAATAGTATATACTTATCTGTCCCATCATTGTTTTTGAAAATCTACAGATGGCCCAAGTGCTCTTTTTAGACGATTTCCTGAAATATCGATATTAATTTGCAATGAAATGTTTCGATATTATATATTGACAATATTATATATTTTTATAAATAATATTATTTAATGTAAATATAATCTATAAAACGTTAGCTTTAAACGTATAAAATCTAAGGATTTAGTTAATTTTAGTATTCTAATACTTTTATTTGCACTTAAACTCGCCGAAAGAAAGCTTTTTGCAATATAATTTGATGTATGCAGCCGGTGCTAACGGCATGACCTTTCCGAAGTGCGTAAGAGTTTGATTCTTTTGCAGTTTTTTTGAGTATTTTTTTAGTATTTTTTTTGATTGTTCGAATAAATCTATCAGATAAATTCTCTTATAAATTAAAAAATATTTTTATACTAACTGTTTACCCCGACTTCACCCGCTTAAATTACAGCCTATGCGATGTGATGTCGGATCAGAATTTCGGAAGATTACCCCCTACAAAGAAAACAAAGTTAATAACGTTATCTCTTTATAATACTTTATATAGGCGTTATATAGGCGTTAAAACGCGGCGGATTTTCCGTCTAGTGTGTTCGGTCCAGGGGGCCATTTCTACTAATTTACAACGATCGATTAACAATAACGTTTTTATAACGGTTCCGTTTCGATTGTTGCTGTAAATTTGCATTCTGCTAACGTCGATTAAAAAAAACTTTTACTAAACTAAACTAACTGCTCATAAATTCGAAAGTTTGTATGTACTGATTTTTATAAAACGGAACGGAACTACTGAACGGATTTTCATAAAATTTGTTTGCCGATAATTCTAAATTCTAATACTACTTTTTATACTACTAAACGGTTTCCTAGGAATTAAAGTACTGTGTCATGTCATCGTGTAAAGTGGGTGAAACGTCCTATCATATCAACGTGGGGAAAGTCCTATCATATTTATCAGTACTGATAATTAATCTGATGTTCTGCGCTCGATATGATGTCGGATATGTACCGACCATAAACAAGAAAATCCCTTTGTCATATAAATATGTATAATACTTAGGGTTAGCCTAAGGGGTTAGCGGAATAAATGATATTGACAATTGGACGGGGGAAACAGGCGGTGAATCCTTCATTGGATACCAAATAGCTGGCTGTGAGGTTATGTCAGACTCCTACTGACTTGAGCAGTTGGTTGCGTGCCCAGAAGAAGCAACGAACCTTCGACCGGAGCGCCGCCCCCCTCGCAAAGGGGGGGGGGGGGGCGCAAAGGTTATATTCCATCTACATGAAATGTGACATCGAGATGTTAGCCGTTAACCCTGAGGGGGCTCGGCATCGGATAGGGGTTGAACTGAAGGGTCGGGGTATTGAGGGGAGCTATCATGTAAAATACCCTCTAAAATTGTGTGGCTGTTAGAACTTTCATAGTTATTCTTAATACAATTATAGAAAGACAAGATTTACCACGATTGTATTTAATAACGTGTTTCACTGCATTTATTTTAATTTGTTTATTACGATTTCGAAGTTTAGTGCTATAATAGTTATTAACAATAAAAAAATATAAACAACAATGTTATTTTGGTCCTGTAGGTTACGTAATAGGTTAGAAATTTAAGACGTCTCAAATCTCGAGGTTATTTTTTTTTAACAGACAACAAAAAAAACGAACATTTTTGCGGCTTTTGAATCAGCCGTCTTGTTGAATGGCTCAATTGTTATAATGATACAACTAGAAAACTAGTTGTGCAATTGAATAGCGCCATTCTACTAAATGTCCAGCCGCGCAAATGATCGGCTGATTTACCTAATTGGTTGCGATATTTACACATAATGTCAATGTCTCCGATCGAGAGTGAGATATCGTATGATTACATCATAGGAAAATGACATTTGGGTGCAGACAAACCGTTCTCGAGTATCTCATACTACGCGTGCAGGGCAACCTGTTATCGAGCGATTTTGTAGATATTTTTAAGATAATTGATTTTTTTCAGAGCTATGTCTCGAGCAATATATCTCCGCATTGCCGGCTACCTCGTAACCATATTATTGCATGGAGGAAACCTGATGGTGGTTACTAGACCTCCATCTAAGGAAGTTTTAGAAGATATTAGAATAAGGAAGTTCTCAGAAATGCAGTTTAGATACTTGACTTCCTGGACTTTTGTAAGTAAGCTAGTAACTATTACGAGAATGAAAATTGTACTCATATTAGTGGCAGTTTTCTTGGAAAAAATCTTCACTATTAGGTTAATAACAAGAATGTTTCATAACGAGTTTCTTTGTGAAATATTTTTGGTCACCCATCCCATAACTAGCCTCTGAAAAAGTTTCTTAGCTTTGGAAATCATAACTTGCAATACTCCAGATACCTATGTCATATTTATTATATTAATTATACTTTTCCAGACTCTTCAGATAGTGTATGGAGTAATTGGTCTCGTATGTGATCTCCTTACTCTTAAGAATTCCAAAACCAGAGATTATAAACTGCCTAAATATGTGAAAGGTTTCAGGGATACCTTGTTTGCTGGTATAGTGTGGCCATCTTCTTTAGTAAGTACTTACGTCATGATTCTATTATAACACTTTAACATCATGCTTTTTAATGCCTCCATTAGCCACACCGGTGATTAATTTGTCATCGTGACTTATTATTTTTGCCTCGGCTGTCTATGAAAATCAAGTGCTCGCACCTTTCTATGAGTTAAATATTATAGGAAGGTGCGAACCACGGTAATAGAAAACAAAATGTCATAATCACAAAGTCAAAATTGCTCTTATACACAGGTTTTTTGTAGGTAGAAAAACTGTATATGGCTCCTAGGTGATATTATTGTTAGCACAGGGAAACCGGTCTTTTAACTGTTCCTCAGTAAAAAGGAGAGAGAAAATCCACGTACTCTATTTGTTTTTCTCTATTGAGCTAACAACGCACATTCGTAGTAAGATGCGTGCATCCGAAAGCTGTCTTTTCATGTGCAAGCAGAGATAGATGGGGTACAGAGATAGTCTTTATTTTTCTGCTACTCAACACTGATTTGAGTTTTTAATAGCTGATCAGTAGCAGTAGCTTTATTTATTTTAACATCTTAATTAAATCGAATTAACACCTTAAATCGAAACATAAACAATTTTCTGCTATCACTTGTACCTTATTAAAAGTACTTATTATGTTACATTGGTACTTTATTCATCAAAAAATCTTAAAAAAATAAAATCGACTTCAAAATTTGAAAAGTGATAAATAATATTTATTACAAAAGCGACTTATTCAAGAAATGCAATTGTAGTCGAGTGGAGGTTATCTGTAGGTTATTAATCAAACGATAGGCGCCCGATTTCGCTTTTAATATAAGTATTATTTGTCATTCTTAAAGTTTAATATCTGTTCTTTTTTTTTGTTTTTATTTCATGCTTTTCAGTGATATTGATATTGATATATTTTATATATTAAGTAACACTATGAACATTAAATATCAATCTAACTAAAAGTATTAAACATAATGAAAGTCTTGAGAAAAGGAGATTTCCTTTTTATGCTCGACATATTTTTTTCCAATAATCTATATTCATATTTTAAAAAGGAAATATTTGATTGCTTTGTTTGCATTGGAATGGCCCCGAAACTTTTTATAAAAGTTTAATATTTTCGGGACTTGAATATTGGAAAATTGACTTACTACGGGAAACGCGGCGGATATAGGCTACAATTTACGCAGGTGAAGTCACGGGAAAACAGCTAGTTTGATAGAAATTGTTTCACAATTCAAGAACTATATATATATATACTTTGCTCTTATACTTACTATGTATGACTTTCATAAAAAATAACTAAGAGACATTGAAGAGTAATGTATACAAACTCGTTGAATATAGGAAATCCTTGTTTTAGATTTTGAATGAATTCTATATACGCTTTTTGAATGAATTCTTTTGTTTTTAAGCTGAAATGAGCCGTGTTATAACATATAATATTTGGTTACTAATATTAAACAATATTAGGACGAAAATATCGGTGAACTTACACAAAAAAATATATATATATATATCGCCGTCGAACATATAAGCTCCTTCTTTTCGATTTTAAAGTCGGTTAATAACAACATTTTGTGAAAGCTTGTGAAGACTTCTGTGGTACTGGGCGAAAATTTTTCGGCATAAGCAGTATCACTTCGCTAGTTTTTAATTATGTTTTCCATTTCTATCATAAACTGACAGGATAGTATTACAATAATAATCTCATGTTAACCTCACATCACGAAGTTTTTCGAGTTATCTTCTGTAGTGCTATTCTGTTACAAAAACAGCTTCGAATTGGTTGTCACAATTACAGAAAGTTTTATTTAATTGGAGCTTTATGACGTGAGAGCTTTGCGTTCGACGACTAGTTCGAGGCTGTTTTTATCAAAATAGTATAGCGGTTATGCTAAAAGATATTTATAGGGTACAACATGAGCATGTTGTATACCTATATCTAAAACTATGTCCATAGACAAACCTATCGTAGGTATTGCGAAGTAACAAAGAAAATAAAAATAATCTAATTTCTTTTTAGGTTGTTTTCATATTTTTCTGGTGCGTATTTATCTACGACAGAAGTCTCGTTTATCCGGACTTCTTAGACAAAGTGTTGAGTCCTGTATCAAATCATATAATGCACACAGCTATTCTTCCTATTGTCCTCTGGGAGATTTTGTTCCAGCCCAGGACTAAGCCACAGTCTCACATGAGATATTTCGCTCATATGACGTTTCATTTCGCGTTCTATCTTGGCGTGTAAGTATAACCATTATTTTAAATAATATATATTAAACCTCTACTTTGGGCGCGTGCACTGAAAATTATTTGTTATCGCGCCTTATCATTTATGTCACCGCGCTGCTGTCATTTCTATAACGTCGAGACTTCTAGTTAACACGTGTTCTAGTGCGTACGATTCCGTAAGGATTTTCGAAGGAGACAAAAAGTTACGGTGCGTGCGTAACCTTGTGTGGACCAATTTCAAAGTCTAATGTATGCGTCATTGTGACTTTAAATTTTTGACACCGTGCTTCTATAGAAGTCACCTAATTGCCACGTGTTTAAGTGCACGCGTTAAATTCTTGAGCATGTTCTTAGGGAACAAGAAGTTACCTGTGCGAGAATTCAACCATATAAATAAAATGACATTCGAATTTGGAAATTCTAAAAAAGTAATTCCGAAAATCACACTAGAGACCAAGACACTTTAAAACATAAATCATTATCTATATTTACAGCATTTTCCAATGTCAGAAATTACATTGACAGTTTCGACAGTTTATTCTTCTTCTTTTGTTTAATGGCTTATCTGCGCATTTCGCACAATTCTGCCAGTGTGAAAATATGTCAATGATATTTATAATAAAAAAAGGTAGATAGGTTACTTGATTTAAAAAAAGTGTCACCTTAAAACTATGCTATATAATTAGCAATATGTCATAAAAAGAAGTTTTAATAGGAACTTCTGATTCATCGCTATCTTTCATTGATTTAATTTTACATGTAAAAATTAATTAATTTACTTGACATTGGCAGAATTGTGCGAAATAAGCCGCAGATAAGCCATTAATTAAAAAGAAGAAGATGTTATAAAAAGGAAAAATAAATACCCCTGTTACAAGTTGTTTCTGATTATAACACAAGTGCTTTCGGTTACAAATTGTGAAAAAGATCTGTCAAAGATTATGTAAGTAATAGAATGGACAATTCGACTTTAGTGCCTACGCTCTACCTTACATTTATTTGAAAATTTATATGAGACTGAAACGCCGAAACTCCGGTAATGAATTCAGAGCATGTATTCAAACCTAATTCCGGAGCTAAAAAAATACTGTCTCGTGTTATTATACATATTATGTATCAGTGACAGGTTTATTTGATCGCTTGAAAAAAAAACATTATTTCTACATGGGCAAATAATATATACACTAACGACAAGGAGAAATAATAATGTTAGACATTAACAATTTTAAGTTGAACTGTCTTTCTCAGACTTCGATCGAAGTCTTTAACTCGTTTAGGTAAAAGTAGGCATTAAACATGCATGCGTCTGGTCTGTGACATGTTCAATTATAGTCTATGAATTATTGGAGAGTATCGTGCCATGTACGCGTATATATATGCTGGGGACATTTTTGGCATCGTATTAGTATTGACCTATCTACCCTTTTTTTTGTAATATTATTGATTCATGTGAGATTTATGAATTGGAATTTTGTATATAATTTTTTTTTTTATTATTTCAGACTCATCTACACATATGTAGAAAAAGGGATATGGTTGTATCCAATCTTAAAAGAATTTTACGGTACAATGAAATTTCCATTGATGTGTCTATGCGTCTACGTATTAGCCAGTGTCAGCTATTACCTGCAATGGATATTGCCGTCATTCGTGAGTGTACCAGAGAAAACGAAGAAAAAGCATCGATAGTAAATAAGATATAATTATAGATTATATAGCTTTCCATTCAGAAAATCTTATACAATTTTTTGAATGCAAAAAATTTTAATTATGGTATGGTGTGGTGGTTGTTTAGTAATTTATTTAGAAACATGTTTTGAACAGTGCTATTCTTAAATCAGTCGTTTTTGCGCGTCGAGTGCACAGTGTCAGACAGTGCTGATTAGGGAATGCAATCTCGTTCACGCGAAATCTCGTTTAGATCTCGCCCTTTTTTGCGAGATTGATCTCGGTCGAAAAATGGGCGAGATCTCGCGAGTTTAACGAGATTGCACTCGAGCATAAAAACGATTTATAATAAGACGAATAGCAAAGATTCTTTGAACATTTTGTGCTTCTTAAGAAACTACTTTTAAAAGTATTCGTAATAATGACGCGTGATGTGAATCGAATAAGCCTTTAAATTGATTGTTTATTTATTCTCTTATTTCTAACAGATCTCTGGGTACACATAATTTTCTTTCATTGATAATAATCTCAGTTTAATTATCAATTCAGTTAATGACTAAAATTACCCGTATAAATAAATGTTCATTTCATAATACGTGTAATTCCTGTAATTTTTTCCAAATTTATTCAAATATTGTGATTTAAATAAATATTACAGTAAACACAAAAGTGCCAATCTCGCGAGATGTCGTAATTGGCGAGATCTCGCGGTATTGATATTCATAAACTCGCGAGATCTCGCTCGAGTCCCAATCTCGCGAGATTGCATTCCCTAGTGCTGATAATACAGAGATTCAATGAAATAAAATTAAATGTTCGGGTTTGAACATCTGTACATAGTTAATAACAAAGTCGCTTTTGTACACTGAGATTTTTAAACTATACAACGGATTTTGTGATATCCGTCTATAAACAGAGTAATTCAAGAGGTAGATTTATAAATGTATAATACAAGAACACGCGGGCGAAGCCGCTGGCGAAAAGCTAATGAAATATTAATGGTAGCTAAATGATAAAGTCTTTTGTAGTTCAATACACGATTATTTCTGAATTATTAAACAGATAATTATATTTAACGATAACAATCCGAAACCGACGGCGACTAATGCATTAAAAATTATTTAATAATATTTTTCTGTGACGCGTTGTAGTGACGTCACAGACAGTGTTCGGGAACAACCTTTATACTGTGATAGCGCTGTTGCCAACGTTGAGTTGGACGTTGATTTCATTACAGAATAGTATTGCTGATATTTTACAAAAATGTTACGATATTTTTTTTATTTCTTTGCATAACGCAAATAAAAAGAGTTATTATATTTTTGTATATTTTTTTTCTATATTGATGTAAAAATGTAATACAACATATAATAAAATACGTATTTTTATTTACCTACTATAATTCCTACAGGCGTTAAACTCCGTCTTCTAGTGTATCGAGCAAATATATGAAATGAACACCTACAAACTTTAATTAGCGCTGGAAATTCACAAAATCGTGGCTTTAAGGAAAAAAGTAGTGTGAAGTAAAGAAATCATTATTTATTTATAAAGTGACACATTTTGTGGTTCCATGACTTAAACAATGTAGTAGCATGTAGTTTTATCATGGGACTTACACGGTTCATAGAAAAGAGAGTCTATTTTGTGACTCATGTTCGTTTCCAATATATATCAAAGTGGTAAATCTATACTTATATTACAGAGAGGTAAAGTTTCTTGTTTATTTAAATCATGATTTTTTTTTCACCTTCTGGAAGCTTCATTAAACGATGGTGCCATAAGCTATATAATTTACGCGGCTGAATCCGCGGGAAAGTAAACTATAAAACTAATATTTATCTTCAATTACATATTTGTAAACTCATTTGATACCATTATAATGAAGCGGAAGGATTTTATTGTTTGCATTATTCAATGCTTCGAACTACTGGACCGATTTTTAAAATTTATCTACGAGAAGTTAAAATATACATACGCTGGTAACATAGGCTATAATTTACAAAAGCTAAATCGCGAGAAAACAACTGGCTTCTGATAGGTATATAAATTAGATTTCATTATACTGTATCTCCAAGTGAGTTTCACCAGCATAATCATAGGTTACTTTTTTCGAATATATATTTGTGGTATTTATTTACAATAAATAGCTCGGTGGCGTAGTGGATAAGTGCCGCGGCCCGCGATCGTAGTCGTTAAGCAACTTTCGCAAGGGTCGGTCACGGGATGGGTGACCAAAAAATTATTATCTCGAGCTACTCCGTGCTTCGGAAGGCACGTTAAGCCGTTGGTCCCGGCTGCATTTGCAGTCGTTAATACCCTCCAATCCGCAATGGACGTAAAAGGGCTGGTGTGTGGTTTACAACCAGCTGTTCTCCGCATTAACTATAGCATAAGTTACCAGTATTTTTTTTGTATTTATATACATTTATTTATTACATAATATCTGAATTTATTTAATGTAAAAAACCAAATAAATATGTCCTCATTATAATAATAGTATAGATTTTCATGACAAATTTTAACTTTTTAAGCTGCAAGAAGGAATTTTAATATAACTGCCAAAGTAGGTAAAACATCCAATACATGAATTAATAACGATAAAACTTCAAAAAATTAGTTATACAATATGTAAACCGGTTTAACTTTTATTAAGAAAAAGAGAAATGACCATCCTCCCTATGAACAAAAAGAAAAATAACTTTCTAAATCTTACAGACGTCCATCATAACTGGATACTGTTTTTCTAACAACTATTATAAAAAATATTCATAGCTTACGGCTCTATAGTTAGTGGTCGTTGACGTCTTTGTCAAAGTTATTTGTGCACGTGTCTTGATACTTTCTCCTTAACAACAAAGTTTATTTTCCTTTGATTATTCAATCGAATGTATATTTGTAATGTAAGGAGGCTGTGTTCCACTTAATGGTCAAGTGCATCTGTGTGACTAACTTTTACAACTTACCCCATGACTCGGGTAAAATTATAATGTTGGGTGGGAATAATAAGTAAATAGCTGATTGTTATCACAATCTCATTCTTCCTTGTGTTACTCAGATATGTTTACAAACAATAAACAACTAAATAAAAAATATTTTAATCAGTCAATTTACTACATAATATATTAATGGAATTTACCATTATAGAAAATATATCGAGTAATAAATTAAAATAAAAGTAAGTTTTTGGATTATAAAACAATTTATCCGTGTTTGAGAAACCATAAAAAATCTACTATTTTTTTTTCTATTAGAGAGTTTTTGTGCGAAATCTTTTCATCACACTATTAAACACATTATTCACAATTAAACACATTCATAGCATTGATCTTTCCAAGGCACTAACAAACATTAATGACCTTAAGAAAAATATTGATATTGATGCGAATTTAAGAAACAAATATGGCCACACTTTATATTACCGATACTCCGAAGTTCCATATTCATTCCTTGTCTAGTAGCGTATCCGAACGGTTGTTTTGAAAAGCGCTTCGACAAAAGTTTTTAAATTTGTTTTGATTGGAAAAAAATTAGAGCGTGTTTTTAAAAATGGCGGTCTCGTACGCCGTTTCCCGCGTCTTGAGGCGCGCGTCGCCGTTCCTTTTTCAAAAAAGGTGCGAATCGACGGTCGCGAGTTTCACCAAAGACGAGATTTTGTTAATGTTGAGACCTCCTTTTACAAATTGGAGCGATATAATAAGAGATGCGGAAAAAGTTGTTGGATATCCGACCTCATTTATGAATCTACGATGTCTTCTGAGTGATGAGTTCGCAAATCTGGCGTTATATTTGAGGAAATTGGTAAGTTAAACAAAACATAATTATAAAAATAGGTACACATATATATTTTTTAAATAACTATATATAAATGTATATCAGCTTTTTTAAGGCTAATTTTGTGGAAACTACCTGGTTTTTTTTCGATATTGAGTTATAAAGTTACATTTATATTGCCTATCAAATATTTTTTATTTTGTCGATTTCAAATAGGATTTATATAATATACACAGTACTTAGTTCATTATTTTTTCCTGCTTATTTGAGATTGTAATTTTTTATCAATTTGTAATAATTTTCAATATACTTGAAAACTTTGTTTTCATATAAGACACAATAGAATTCGAAACCTAATCAGATTAGTTGAATAATGAGTTTATTTTATTTATGTTTTATTGTAAGAAATTACAATATTTTAATCTATTGCTCAAGCGTTTAAAACCCGAGAAATTGTCTTCACGGCTCAGTAGTTAGTGATTTCTGTCATTGCGTGAGGTCGACGATTAGAAATTAGCGTTTTACGGTAAAAACTGTCAATATTATATTAAAAAACCGACCAAGTGATAGTCACACTCGTGCACGAAGGTTTGCTGTATGGGAGCTCGTTTATAATTATTTTATTCTGGTTTTTAGTATTTGCTGTTGAAGCGGCAACAGAAATACATCGTCTGTGAAAATTTAAACTGTCTAACTTTCACGGTTCATGAGAAACAGCCTGGTGACAGACAGAAAGTGAAGTATCAGTAATAGGGTTCCCGCTTGGCAAGGGTTCACCAGAAGATGGGTGACCAAAATGCTTGTATGAGTAGGTGTTCTGTGCTTCTGTGGGCAGGATAAGCTATTGATTTGGCTCCATTTTGAGTATAACACTACAATTGGCACTGTGAGCACCATATGGTTTTGTCCGAGTAATATATCTTCATATTTGATTATATTCCCTACCAGTGACATTAATGGGTTGGTAATAATTTAAAAAAATATCACCTTTCCATTACCAATACAAATACAATTGAACAGTTAAAGTTTATGCAGAAAAGGTTACCAAAATATGAAATATCCATTAAATTAATGATATACTATCATGCAATTAAAACATACGCACATGTTACACAGATTATATGTATTTTTCTATAAAGTGTTTTTGAATATCGAATGCTGAGGTCAGATTATTTTACCATTCACCAATGTTCTGCCTATAATTTTTAATATATTATATTAATTAAAATCATAAATAAAAATTAGGATATAATTACATGGTCATAATTCTATAGTTCTCAATGTCAATGTCGAATAAAACATGTTGTCTCTGTCTAACCAGTAGAAAGCGAACGTTAACTGTGTCGAACGACTTTCACGCAAAACATGTCTTTATCATTTATGGTGGAATGTCACGAGTTCATTAATTTTTCCTGTTAATTTATGGCTAAAGTTCGAACTTAGATATTACTTATACATTTGTGCGCTCTTTTACCGGGATTTCGCGACCCCTATGTCATCCCTGTATGTTGTAACTTCTGGTAGGTGAAAGAATTGTCATGATCTTATCAGTATTTTAGAAGATTACTCCTTACAAACAAACAAAGCAAGAAACTTTACCTTTTTATAATATTAGTATAGATAGATGAATATTTGAATATTAGTTCTTATTACATTCCAAGTCTTGTTTAGTTTGTAAAATATCTGAGTTCCAGCATTCACTTAAATTTTGACATATTCTTAATAATGCTTATCTCGAGTATACCAGTGTAAGTAACAGCGCATGAGTCAGTGTTATTACATACATATATTATAAAAAGAAAGAGAGAGAGAAAAAAAAAACTATGGTCTTATATTGATAACATAATCTTTTAATAATAATGAAAACAAGATACTCGTAATTTTTGATATATAATGAGTTAAAAAAGTAATCACCTACTCAGTTGCTGGATCATCTCAAGTCCAAACATTCTTATCTGTCATATATTCGGATTAGAGTAGAAGCGCACACAAAGGCCCCTGAATGAGTTATTAACTTTTTGCAGTCTAGTGACAGGCACCGTTAATTTTTTTTTTCTTGTATTAAAATTGTGTACATCACTATTTTTAGTAATAGTCATTATGTCTGATGCCTTAAATTTCTCCCGTAAAGAGTCCCTAATCCTAAGATTATAAATTGATCTAATTGCTCTTTTCTGAAGCACAAAAATCGTTTGTATGTCGGCAGCATTTCCCCACAATAGGATACCGTACGACATAACACTATGAAAGTAACTGAAGTATACTAATCTAGCAGTATCTATATCAGTTAACCTACGTATCTTCATTACGGCATAAGCTGCGGAGCTAAGTCTATTCGACAATTTATCAATATGTGGGCCCCACTATAGTTTAGAATCTAATGTTAATCCTAAAAAGAACACGAATACAAAAAACTAAATATTCAAATATTAGCGGCCAGCATTGACCAAAAATCGATCGGAGGATATAATCCATGCTAATAAGTATGCACGGACGTTACAGTACTATACTAGTTGTAATGTATGACATAAGAATTTTTGACAAACGGCTTTTCATTGGCTCATCGCCTTCTTTCATTCATTTTATTTTCAATAATTTACATATACAAGTTAATTTATTTACTTGACATTGGCAGAATTGTGCGAAATGCGTATATAATCCATTATTAAAAGAAGAATACGCTTTTAATTATTTGTCATAATAATTATACCTATTACAAGATTTAAAAACTTAAGGACTGGTTGTCCTTAGATAAGTATTTCTCGCATTCTATATAAGTAAAGAAATTGGATAAAAATCAAAATTGCTCTATCAAAAGTTATTTACGAAATGGTTGAAGTGGTTGATAAGGAATATTTTTATTATATGGAAGGTCGTAAATGTTATGGATAATAATTACAAAAATGTTGTTACTATAAAAATAGCCCGGACTAATCTTACATAAGATTCAGTTTGATACAATCTTACAATTTACAGTTTTTACGTTATCACCTTGTAATAGATTTAATTTATGCGAAATTAACATTGAAAGTACTCATTGCCGTTTAAAAATTGTAAAATTGTACGATCTAAATTATGCAATACTTTTCAGTTATTATTTCTCCTTGTAAACTTGGGTGTAATGACTACTATATAGTGACACCGCGAATTAGGGAAGTATTCAGATTTCAGTAATAGATTATATTGTTATAAAATATTGTGAAATCATACATATCTTATTAAAAAAAAAATAAGCTCAAACTTTGGTAATAGGTATAATTACTTAACTGTTTTATACATTTAAGTGGATATACTTAGCCATTTTTAAACAAATATAAATGACTTCGTAGGTACAAAAATGACAATAATAATGTTACCAAAACAACAATATATTATTTTATTATTGCAAAAATAGACAATCTCTTTTGGATGTCAAAAATTATCTTAGTTAAATAAATGAGATGGATCTTGTTAATAGAACGCATAATTAAAGTAATAATAACGTGTAATATGTATTTAGAAAGACAAATTTTCAAGTTTTAATTAAAAGGTCTTGTAGTCAATAGGCACTGAACAAAGATATGAGAAACATAAAATGTGAAAATTGGACATTTTACTTATTTAAAGAAATATTTAAAAAAAATTAAAACTTTTTCTTAACAAGTTGAAATCACTAAATTACACGAGAGTTTAATGATCAGTTTACCACAGTCAAAAGTCGAGTTAAAATAAAATTCCTTTATACAATTATAAGTTTACCAGTTCATATGCAAATTCCCTAAGACCACTAAATAAATGAGCAGAATATTATATAACTTCCAATAAACACCTTTATTTCCTGAAGATATAATTAATTTCTTTTTACTTCTGTTACAGATGGGAAGTAACCATCTGGTCATGCAGACAGCCAAAAACATTTTATATGGCGACTCTAAGAACCTCCAACCTTGGGGTCTGATCATTCTACTCCTTTCCAAATCTGTCAAAACATCTCCTCCACTGACAAAGAACATCGAGGAGCAACAAAGGAACCTCGCTGAGCTCACAGAAATGATAAGAACTGGTCATTTAATCCATCACGGAATTGTAAATGTGCCTTACAATAAACGGTCCAAGCATACAGAATCAGCAATATTCGGGAACAAAATCGCTTTACTGCTCGGGGACTATCTTTTGGTAACAGCTAATGGAATGCTTGCAGAAATGAGGAATTCTGACGTTTCATATATCATATCGACTGCTTTAAAAGATTTATCAGAAGGAGAATTCTTTGGAGAAAGAGACGAACAAAATATGCCTATACCGGGAAAGCCTAAAATTGCTGGAGAAGATTTTGAGATAACGTTTGATACCAATTGCATTTCCGTAGACGAAGTTATTGGGAAGCCAAGAAAGGAGTGGACGGCAAGAACGGTATTCAATGGCGTAAGCCTGTTGGGGAGGGGATGCCAGTCAGCAATGGTAATCAACAAACAGAATAGAGAAACACAAAACTGCGCTTACCAATTCGGATGCCACGTTGGCTTGGCTTGGCAAGCAGCTGTAGAACTTCAGCAGTTAACATCAGAGACTAAAGAACAGTTTTGCTTGGCCAGTGCCCCAGTTTTGTTTGCTTTAGAAGGTAATCCCGAACTATACAAAGTTATAGATCAAGCGAAAAACGACGTTAAAGATGTCGATTACGAGGATTTAAAGTTTAATATTCTGAAAACTGATGCCGTGGACAGAACTAAGGCTTTGTATGAGGAACATGCTCAAAAAGCGATCGCGTATATAGAAACTATGGGTCAAAACGAAGCTGAAGTTGAAATGGTCAAAAAATTGATTAATACGTTTTGATAAATGAATGGACTAATTTGATATTACACTCACTTAAATAGCGGGGTGTATTATCTCTCCAATACTAAGAGTTATATTTTGTAAAACGGTATATTTTAAATAAATTGTTTGTAAATTAGAAAAAGTGCAACGCGTTGCCACACTGTACACGAATAACGTAGAAGAATATACGGAATTGCTTCATACTTCATGCTAATTACTAATTAACTACAATGGGTATTGTATGGCGATTACTAACACGAATGGCTGAAACTTACTGAAAAAAGTAATAATGTACTGCTGTGCTGCTGTGTGTACACATACACACTGCAGTATGTAAGATACCACAATACCTAAGTCGAATTTCTCCAGATGAGTTTGACCCCTACTCTCAATATGAATAAACTTCTTGCTATCAATGAACGATTAAATATACTTTACTCTTTGGTTTAAACTAAAGTTTCAAGTGAAGAAACTTTACAGTTTTTTGGATGAAATTTACTGTATTGTCTCTGGTTTGGGCTAAGCTCTCTTAGCCTTTCCTTTAAGGAAAAACTCTACCAAAAAAAAGTCTCTGGTTTGGGTGTTATGGTACTGTAATTGTTTCAGTTCAATAATAAGAAGCCTTACATAATCAACTTGGAATATGAGAAATGTGTGTGATGCTGTCTAATACTTTTATTTATTTAAAATATAAAAATAATAGAGACATTATGATCAAAACTTACTGAGTCATTCATGTTGTTTTCACCAATGGTAATTTCATAAAAAAGCTTTCAATATTTAATAAAGATTTGATAATCTTATGTGTTCTTGAGTGTACTGAATTAGGCTGATAATTGTTTTAAGAATTTAGAAACTTATTTGTGTCTAAAAAATGGAAAAAAAAGATTTTTGTAATGAAAAGTAAAATACTATTACTTATTACAACATATTTGTGTTCATTTTTTCCCCGAATATCCAAAAAGAGAATACGTACGGTCGGCCAAGAAAGTGGTCTACCAGTTTTGACAACATTTCCCGTGTCTTTAAAGCATCGCTAAAGGCGAATCTTAGAATTGCATACAAACAATAAAAGAGATGCACAATGCTGACGTGTTGTCGTAGAGCACAAATGTTATTTTGACCTTTGCAGCCTATGCATTAGATAATAATTTGCAACAACAAATAGTCTTCACAATATTTCATAAATTTAAAATTTAAGTAGGTCACTTCAAAGTGGAAACTATTTTGTTACGAAAACTCTTTTACTGAAAAAGAATATATCACTTGACAATTCATGTCAAATATTTTCTCGGCATTTTCCGTAGGTATTTTCCTAATTAATTTACACTACAATGCCCCGAAATTTATCCATTAACGAAAGAGCACAAATAATCGCATTACACAATGATGGTTTGAATATTAGTGTGATTTCTAGAGAATTAAATGTGTCGGTAAGTATTATTATGTCTGACGTGAGTTTAATGTAAAATCTCAGACCAAGTCCGAGTGTAAAAATTTTTTTTTACTTTTTCTGTTCATTTTTTATTTTTTATTATAGAGACAAGCTGTCCGTCTTTGGATAAGACGAGAAAGCGAGGAGGGGAATTTGAACGCTCGGAGTCGTAGCGGTCGTAGACCTCAAATATCAGATACTCAGCGAGTCTTCATGAGACGGAGTTATGAGGAATCTGGCTTTATACCAACGCGTTATTTTGCCGACATATTTGACGTGACTCTCCAAACCATTAGAAACCATTTACATTACATGGGCTTACATCACAGGCGTTATGCAAAGAAAATTTATATGACTGACGCTCATAGAGTGGCCAGATTAAATTTCGCCATAGAATATTTGGATTTTGATTGGAGTAACACTGTTTTTTGTGACGAGAAAACTTTTAAATCCAGTCAACACGGGCGTCTACACCTTTGGCGATTCAATAAAACGCGATACACGCAAAATCATGTCGTGCCAAATAGAGAATCGGGTCGTATCTCGGTAAATTTGTATGGATGGATGACTGTTGATGGTGTTGGAGACTTGACCTTTTTGCCACCACGAGCAACGGCATCAGATTATGTTGATGTTCTCCAAAATGCTATGTTGCCATCCGTCCGGAACGTTTATCCAGAAAATGAAATGCGTCAATTTAATTATTTACACGATAATTGTCCCTTACATAAAGCAAGGGTAACACGTGCTTGGTTTGATGCACATCCGGAAATAAACTTGATACCATGGCCTGCAAAATCGCCAGATCTCAACCCTATTGAAAATATGTGGGGGTCTTATGGTAATGAACGAACAGCAGAAGCACTACAAGGGCACTGCAATGAGGTTTGGGAGGAAACACGTGGGTCTGATATCTGCTCAAGACTGGTGGGCTCGATGAGGGAACGTCTCCAAGCTGTTATAGAGGCAGATGGCGGCTACACAAGATTTTAAGAATTATAATTTTATAAAAGAATTGTATATATTTTTTAACAACCAAAGAATTAGCATTTTCACTATCTCTTCTAGTTTTAGCCCTTGTCTCGCACTAAGCTATGGGTCGGCGCAATATGTTTTTCGTCGCTATTCATTTCTGTTATCCGTTATCTCAGTATATTCAGACCTATAACACGCATAGCTTCTTACGCATAGCATTTCACTACCTACTGATTTTTTTTATTTGTATTAAAATATAATTAATCTACATTCTAATGTAGGATATTTGTAGACTATCAGACTTTATTTATTTAAACATACAAACAGACAGACAGAAAAAAAAATATTTTTGGCTTCTATTAGTCTTATGAAGGCCGTTCATATATTTTTTTTCCAAAATGTCTTACAAATGTAACCTTGTTACATTTTTATTATAGGTATAGATAATTACTGTCAAAGGTTACGTCAAAATGATGAACATAGCAATAATGAATGACGTGTACTTGACGTGTCAAAAAATTAATGCTACGGAAAATGAATTGTGCGAAATGCGCAGATAAGCCATTAATAAAAGAAGAAGAAGAAGAAATCAACCTTGTTGTTAGTTGACGTAACACGCGAAATTCAACCTTAGGGTGGTAGACCACTTTCTTGGCCGACTGTACATAAACAAGATATACAGCCAGTTGCACAAACGTCCATTAAAATTTTCATTAGTTTAAAGCGATATTATCCATACAAATTTGACATTCATTAGAGCTGAAAGGCATCATCAAACCTTAATGGATGTTTGTGCAACTGGCCGTTAGTTAGCCACATAGTTTTAAAAAAATAAAAAATCAGTAATAATATTCACACACTAACCCCAAAGACAAATAATTAGATTTTCTAATAAACACAGAGTCAAAATGAATTTCTGAGACGTGAAACGTTTCATAAGGGGCCATCCATAAATTACGTCACACAAAATTCAGAATTTTCAACCCCCCCCCCCCCCTCCTGTCACCTATTTATCTATATAAATTCCACTAAATATTATTCTAACGTCACAGTTAGTCAACCCCCCCCCCCCCTCATAAAGTGTGACGTAATTTATGGATGACCCCTAATCTTATAAACAGAATCTAAATATGGACCTTCCCATTAACCTTCAACACACTTAACATGCAATACAATATTTTAGTAACTGGTCGACAACTAAACTGTTCTTGACAATATTTTATACTTAATTACGGTACTCGTACTATACTACACACGAAACACAAAGGATTTGCCGTCGTTATGTTTCCAATACATCTGAATTTTTAATAAAAGTACCATTTGACAGTTTACACCAGTGATTCCCTAAGTGGTCCAAGTGGACCCCCAGGAGTCCACGTGGGATTCAACGGGGGTCTACGTTAACGTGAAATAAAAACAATTTCCATCGTTAGATCTTCACATTTTAGACGAATTTTGGGAATATGGTAAAAATGTAGCAGCGGGGATTTCACCGAAACCATTAATTTTTTAAAATGGTCTACCAAAAAAAATTGTTTGTAAATCTCTCTCAATCTACTACTTGTACATATTAAAATTACACCAGCAGAGCAATTACGTAAAAGCCCGAATCCAAATTAAAATCCACTTAAGTAGCTGAATTCACTTGGAAAGCGAATCCCTTTAACTTATATCAGTGTAGATTTTTTTTTTATAAAAATACAAAATAAGGTTGGTTGATTCATACGTGTCTTACATTATTCTATCCCTTTATCACATCGAAACTCACTTCACTTATACCACGAAAAGTTAATACCACTTCAAGGACCCGTGGCGTGCGGCGGGTTTTGCGCACGCACACCTTTATCGACATAATGAGAAGTCGCACGCTTTTGTCAATCACAAATTATTAATTTGTCTGTTGCATGGAACTGTCAGGGTTACGAAAGTAACTTTTGATGTGTATTATTTATTAACATTCAAATCACGTTTTACATATTACATTTGCTGCTACGTTATTCGGAGCACTTAAGTGGAAGTTATTATTTTTTTGACGTTTACGTTCACCGTCGATCGTGAGCGCTTTAAGATATTATTAGTATGGAATTCGGTACAGCCCCTGTAGCGGTAACTACCAAGAACTACACAAATCTCCATAAAAAATTTTAACGCACTTATTAGTGAACACGATAACATAAAAGCTATACTTACCACTCTGTTATAATAATAGCTCCGAATGTGATGTCAAGCTCAACGCTGTCATAGCATAGAGGTTCAATCATTAAAAGAGACCTTCATTACCTTTTGAAGGTTGACGTTGCTTTTATAATTGCTTTTATATAGAGAATAGTCATCCGCTCTGCAGGGGGCAGGCCTTCCTTATGGATTGTTAAAGAGGATGGGCCATGACCCTCAACGCTGGATTACAGAATATCACTGTTGATACTAGTAGAAAATCTGTTGTACAAACTAGACTGATACCTGGTTTCTGAATTGAGAATTTAAAGATAAGGACGTCTTAAACTGTACTTATACATCACTTAAACAGGTCTTCGTTTCGGATTTTAGTTTTTTAATGATCAGTTGATAGCAGTTTGATTAAACTAGGACTTTTTGATATGCGAAACGTAAAAAAAAATTATTGTTGAGAATAATCAGTTGAAAATTTGTAATTCAGAAACCAGCTGTAAATCAGATTTAAATATGTCGGAGTCAGCTATGAAGATAACCAAGGTAACAGAAGTAAA